AATTCACAGAATAAAGATTGCTTTCAAACCAACACAATTCTTTTATTAAAAAACAACAACCGAAGGAGAGAGACAAACAGAAAAACACATCAGCACTGAGGGAGATGGGGGAAGAGAAGTTCCCAGGAGGAGGTGTGGTACCGGGATGGTTAAAGATTTGTGTATGTCCAGGGATCAGATCCAACCTTCTCCTTTGGAGTACAGTGCAATGGGTACTGTACTTCAGCAGGGCTAAACTGCAGAGGGATGGGTGTTGAGTACAGTGGGAGCACTGGGAGTCCGCAGTGCTGGACTGTGACGGGGGAGGAGTGGAATGCAGCAGGTACAGACTGGAGCCAGGAGGTTGATAAGAGTGTGTTGGCGGTGTCTGGGGGGCGCATGGGAAAGTTTTGCGACAACGGCTGCAGGGGAGGGCGGGTGTGGAGCTGCTTCATTTGCAGTGCTAGTATCGCCTGGAGCATGTCCGCTTGGCTCTCCATAACCTTTAAGAGCCACTCATGGCTTCATTCTGGAGTACCGCGTTCTCCTTTTGGTCCCTCTCTTTGCTGTCCCTCCACTCCTTCAATTCCTATTTTTTGGCCACGGAGTACATCATAACGTCACGCAGAAAGTCCTCCTTAGTTCTTTGTGGCCGCTTTCTAATTCTGCGCAGCCGTTCAGCTGGCGATAACAAAGAGGAAGGCTGGGCTCCCAAGGTCATCTCTGTAAGTTTAAATGTAACATTTTACAGAAGCAGTATTGTTTGCAACACACACAACACTGATTCAGTGATTAAAAACACAGCTGTCACTAACTGGCTGACCCCAGGCAAGCACACATGAGCCACAAGATCCCCAAAATGGTGAGCAGGGGCAGGGTAAATCAGTGTTCCTGGACCCTATTGTACACTGGGCACGTGGCTCTTGGGGAGAGTCAGCACTGTAGGGGGGCCTGATAATCATTCCTGTCCCCACATTTTCCACAAGCTGTGTTCATTATGGAAGATAGCTCGCTGCTGAGGGTTAGCAGGGAATCAATGACGGGTCTTCTCCAAGACTGCAGCTTCCATCCTGGCCCTTATGCAGCTCGCCTGTGTGCAGCAATGGTTCCCCCCGCCCCCTACTGACAGCAGAGTGGCGTGGGAAAGTTACCATTAATGGGGCAAGAAACAAAGCAGCTCAGCCAAAGACCCTGTGGCAGCGGATTGCCCAGTGTCTCCATGAGAGTTTCCTGGAGATCTCTGAGGGAGATTCCTGTGAAGTGAGGGAGTCAATCAACAGCCTGTTTCGCCGCTCAGACGAGGCATGTGGTGGTATGCGCATCATACAGACACAAACCTGCTTTCTGCAACCCTTCTGTCCCCAACAACTCGCTTCAGCAATTCCCAAAATCAAATCCACTTACCAGGGGCCTCCTCTCCTGTTTGTGCTTTGCCATCTCCAACAGCTGTGACTGGCTAGCCTCCTCCGGGGTAGAAAAGAGCTGGCTGCATGAATCTCTGACCTCCGAGTCGTCCTCTGCCTCTGGGTCGCCCTCCCCATCCTCGTCCAAGATTTCCTCCTCCTGGCTCGGTCCACTCTCGACTGGCATGTGAGCCACCGAAGTATCCACAGTGGCCTTCGCAGTGGAGGTGGGGTCACCACCGAGTATCGCGTCCAGCTTTTTGTAGAACCAGTAGCTCGTGGGCGCAGCACCAGAGTGGTGGTTTGCCTCCTGTGCCTTGGGTAGGCGTTCTGCAGCTCCTTCGCTTTGACCCTGCACTGCAGTGTGTCCCGGTCATGGCCCCTTTCTATCATGCATCATGAATCTATCCTTAGGTATCATAATTCCTATGGCTGAAGGGTAGCTGGGACTGGACAGCCTCCTCTCCCCAAATGCTGATGAGGTCCAACAGCTCAGCATCGCTCCCAGCAGGGGATTGCCTGGTGCGTGGAGCAAGCACAGTCACCTGGAAAGATGCACTGAGACCACTGCACACATCACCAAGCAAACAGGAAGGGGACTTTCAAAATTCCAAAGGAATTTACGGGGTGGGGATGACAGTTGCTCACGTGAGGGCAGGGCAATAGTTCAAAACGATGACCAGAGAGGCAAGAACCGGGATTGTGGGACACCTCCTGGAGGCCAATCGCAGCACTGTAATTGATCAGGGTGTCAACACTGACACGGCGGCGCTGTGCCCACAGCGCAGAAAGCTGTACGCCTCTCATCGGGGTGGTTTTTTTACAGCGCTGCAACTGCGCAGTTTCTGCACACTAAGTGGCTTGGCAGTGTGTACACCTCGGGAGTTACAACGCAGAAAGCTGCTTTACTGTGCAGAAACTTGCCAGTGTAGATAAGGCCTTAGGCAGCAGTGAAGCATACCATATTAGGCTTCTCCAGAGTGATGAAGACTGCAAGGCTAATATTCCCTTTATACAGCAAGTGATGTTCCTTTCTTTGTGACAAGAGAAATCATTCCCTTGTTTTTTGAGATCTCCCACAGTAGTCTGTGTTATACTCTGGATTCAGGGTCCAATATGGGAAGACTGAGTTGCTGCCCCTTTGTTATTTCCCTAGGGAGGAATTCATCCTGTACATCCCCTGCACAAAGCCTGAGAAAATGGACATGGAGTTTAGGATCCACCCTGCAAACCAATGAGCAGGGAAGCTGCATTCATTCTTTGTGGATGTTATTCTAGTCCCTGAATTAGAATAGTGGCAGCGTTCCCTTGCATGACCCACACACAGGGATCTTTGGCCATTAGGTCCATTTAACTGTGGACTCACTGGTCGATGCCTCCGCCCCTTCCCCAGCTCTACTGCATGCACGTGGAGAGGAGTCCCCATGCTTGATCACTCCTGTGCTATGCATCCTATGTATATTAAAACCTCTGAAGTTCTGTTGCATTGGGGTCATTTTTCAGCTCCTCTATCCAAAAGAAAAATCTCACCTCTAAAGAACTGCAAGACTGCTGGCACGTATTTTAAAAGGTTAGTAAAGGCCTGGTTTTATTATTATTCCAGTGAATTCACAGCAATTCTAGAAAGGTATTCGCTTGCCACTACTCCTCTGGAGCTTAATGAAATGGAGAGGGTTTCCTGTCTCAGTGATAGGGCAGATTGATTTAATCAAAATGGTGACTGCAATGGTTTTGATACCCTTTACAACTGTCTCTTGATTATCAAGAGTATTTCTATAAAATAATTTTGCTTCTTCTAATTGTATTTAGTTAAGGGGGAAAATGAGCATTCAGCAAGTTTCCATTACATCAGCTGATGAAACAAGTCTATTTGTGAAAAGGGACTTTTAGTGGAGCAACTGAGTCTGCTCCATAGAGGGCCCAACATGGATTTGGAGGGATAAAGAAATGAGAAGTGCAGGAGGACTAGTCAGTAACAGCCAAGGGAAGGCTGCAAGTGAGTGATGTGTGAGAGCTATAGGAACAAAGTCACAGCTCGTGGAGTTAGGCCACAGGTTAGTGGTCACTAAGAATAAAAGTGAACTAGACTGTATTTCAGGGATTAAAATGCTGGCAAAAGTGGAAATATGTGCAGATAGTTTTATGACAGGGTATGAGCTGGAAAAGTACTGTCGATCTACTCCCTTGCAGTTAAAGTGTGACTACTGATTGGGCTGACCAATATACATCTGAGTTAAGTCAGGGCACTAATATTAGCCCTGAGCTAACTATAGTCTGCAGATACTCAGGAGAATAAGCATAAGTAAAAACAGGATACCTGGGATGTCTAGCAAACCAAGTATATGTGAAACGTGCATTCGTGTAAAAACGTTTCCTGTGTTATGCTGGAACAAGAACCCGATTTATTCTTATCTTAATCTCCAGTATAATTCCCAGCGTTTTTTTTTTTTTTATTAAATACAACTGTAAAATGTTACAGGAACATTCTGTGGCAGATGAAGTACCAATGTTTTAAGGTGGCCTACAAATGTATTTTAAAGTAATAACTGTGAAATTACTGTTAGTGCTGAATTGTACAAACATCTACAATCTTGTCTATGCCAGACAGGGTTTGCTGGTATAGCTTGCTATACCGGCAAACCATCCTAACAGAGATGCGGTTTATATCAGAAAAAGGACTCTCTTGCTTATATCAGTTCCCTGAATTAAATAACTTCTTTTCTGGTTTAATTATGTCCACACTAGGGCTTTTTCTGGCATAGCTATGTCAGCTAGGGAGGGGATTTTTTGCCCTACACTCCTAACTGACATAAGTATGCTGGCAAAACTTAATTATAGTCCAGACCTAAGGTAACCATAGCTGTAAGCCACTGGCATTTTTGTCTTTTTTTTTTTTTTTTTAACTTAAATAACAAACAAATTTGAACCTGAGCTTGCTCCTGAACTTGGCTGTTCCTAAGGTTGTCCTCTTCAGATTCCTCTGTCCCTGTGCCTTTAGTGCTCCTGGGTTGGAGCTAACTCTCTTAGTGTGGAAACCAAATTGACTCGGTAGAATAGCTCTGCTCTCCCCATTCCCAGCACAGCCATACGGAGGGAGTCAGAAATTGTCCCTGTATGTGGTAATTCTATGGTACATTTTATTTTTACAGTTGAAGGATAAAATTCTCAGAAGTGCCTAAGTTGACTTTCAGTGGAACAGAATATCCTATATAATGAGATGCTTTTGAAAATTTTAGCCAGTGTTCTGATTTCTGAGCACTGCAGCTGACGGGCTTCTACCTCTACTTTTTTGCAAACTGGCAATGTAAAGTGAGTTGTACCTTAATGTGTTATACTCTCTGATTCTGGATATGCTTTTAGTTAGGATAGGAAACTGTGGATCACAATGAGCTTATGTAAAGTGAGTACAGCTGACAAAGCTGAAAAAGGTATTCCAGAGAACTACAAATTAGAAAATAAAATATTAAGAGCAAAAAGGTCGATTAATTTTGCTGAATAATCATGCATATCTAATGTATAATTCATTACATAATTTTAAATTCAAATAATTAGTATATGATTACCTGAAAATAAATTTCTACTTGATTGACTAGCTTCAGTACTCTGAAGCACTTTTACCTGCAAAGGAAGTAGAATGTTCCAATTACAAGAATTCCTAGAACAACAACCGAAGCCAAGAAAGCTGCAAACGGTTCACTTTTAATTTGGGTCTTGAGACTAGGTAGCAAAACTTCTTCACAACGGGCTCCTGTATAGTTCTCAATACACCTGTGAAACCAAGTTTTATATAAATTAGATTTTTTGGCAGGAGGGGGAGTCATTTTCTGACTCAGTACAATTAATTTATATTCATTTCTATAGTGCATATTCATATAAATCCCATTTATAGAATGATGGGAATTTCTACATTATCCCCTTTGATTTTTGTAACATGACTGGAATGGGGTAAAGAAGCATCATTCTCCCCTAAAGTACACTTAAATTATCTCTTTACTATATATGCATTGTAAATCCAGTAGCTACATTATGCTCTCCTGCAGACAAACCTGTGGAAGGGGCAGATTTACTTGGGGAAAAAAACAGGAAGTTGCAGTTTGTTCAGTTCCCAGCACGTCATCTCAGAAGCGGGCATGAAGTTTTCCTTGTCACATAAGGAGAAGAGAGTGTGGCCTTCCAAATGTACAGAACTAAAATCAGTGGAGAGGAATCATGCTGCCTGCACCTTTTGTAGATTTATCTTTTTCTCTCTTCCAAGAGCTGCTACTGTTATGACAGATCAAGGAAATGGGCATTCATTGCGACATTTGACAAATTGCAATGATAGTTACATTTGTAGTATATGCAGTGAAATAAAAGGCATACCAAAACACATTACATGTTTTTAAAAAGCAGTTGCACTCACTGAGGGACCTAGTTAAAAGGCTTCACTGCTACTCCTACCTTGTGACAGGCTTCTCAAAAACTTTTCCAAAACTAAGGAGAGGCAACTTCTTTGGAGATCACTGTAGCTTCTGACACAATGTAACAAAATTCCTGCTGTTTAAGTGTACATTAGTGTCAGGAATCAGTGCCTGCACCAGATCTAGCCTGGAAGCAGGGCATTCAGCAGAGCCAGGCTCTGGCAACCTAATGATCCCAACTGGTATGTAGTAGGCTGCTTGATTGACTGAAAGAGTAATCAGACCTGCAGCAGCTCCAGTTCAGTGGCTGATCAAAGCATTTGCCCACAGCTGTGATAGCTGCTCTTGCCTTGCCTCACTCCAAGGTCACTGGGTTCTGACTCTGTCTCTGAGCCTGGGCCTGGCCTCTGACTCCAGCTCTGATGCTTGTCTCAGTTTCCTCGCTATTGATTCCTGCTCTAACCACTGTGCATGACTCCTGCTTAAATCACTGGGCACAACCACCCATGTCCTGGTCACCAGCAATTACAAGTAGTGCTAAAATATGTGCTAAAGGGGCACACCTCACTGAGCCATATGCACACAGCCAGGTAAGCCAAGCACCCCTGTACACATTCGATTTTCCAAACTGCCAATCATTTTACCAAACTACAAACAGAAGGGTGACTCCCATGAATTTTGTATCTATCATGAGGTCTTCTAATTTCTCTTCATGACATCCTGAGATGGACTATGTTACTTCAAGTTTTACAGTAATGAAGAATAGAGGACGTATTTACAAGCATTTGCAGGAGCTCCTACAACTAACTCAATAGGCTCGCCTTGAAGATCTGTCCAATGTCTGTCCTGGTTGTTTGGGTGCAATGCTGAGTTCTGGATTTTTAGCCTCCGTAAGTAGAACACAGATTTGTGATTTTTGGCATGGTGCTTTGCGACTAATAGTTCAAGAAATTCCGTCATCCCCAGTAAATGCTGTACAAAGGGCCAAATTGTGGCTTCACTGCACAAAGAGGCTGCACATTGGCAGTGACACTTGGGTTTTAGGAGGGGTTTTCCAGAAGCAGACATAGGGCCTGATCATCCACTGCCTTGTACTTTATGTAGTCATTTACCCCTGTGAAAAGGTACCCTCCCCATTTCAGAGAGATGCAAATGGCTACACAAGATCAAAGGTAACAGATAATCGAGTTTGTATCTCCAGGATTATTTGGGGAGGCACAATGTAACCCAAAATTTATTGTTCTGTGGTACAGGTGTATACGTCATTAAGTCTATAGAGTCTCAGGCCAAAAACCACTGATCTGAACACTTCTCCCAAGACACAAACCATCTACCTACTAATCCAAGATGACAAAATATACTCCACATATATGAACTAATGCACCACAAAGGATCTTTTTTTTAAAGTGTTTTAAAAAAGCACTGAGGAAAATGAAGAAAGGTCTGAAAAGCAGACTGTCATTTTTTCTCATTTAATTTAAAAAGTTCACATTTTTTTCTTTCAGATTTTGTACTCAAAATATCAGTTTTCAGACCAAAGCAAATTTTTACTACAGAAATAGTCATCTAACATTTGAGTTAGAACAGCATGAACATGTATAGCTATAGTTAATACTATCATGCTTAAATCAGACATAGAATTCATGCTACTGTATCAGTGAATTGGCCTGAGTTTGACCTCTGTTTTAGGTGAGTGATATGATTCATATGCCATCTACAATTATGGTTATTGTAGAAGGTAGCAATGACTTTGCATGTGATCAACATCGTTGTTTATTTAAATGGAATAGGCTTCTAGCGAAAAATACTGATTTTATATATACTGTTTAAAAATTGTGAATGCATCACTGAAGAATTACTAACCAAAACCATCACTTTGGAAAATTCAAATTAGACTTGGCAGATCACCTTTTACATGTTCCTGTTCGCTATCATTCGAATCAGGATTTATTATACTTAATATACTGACTCTTCATGATTTTCTTGGCTATGACGACAGTGCAGTGCAAAAACAGACTGGGCCAAATTCTGCTCTTAATGATACCATTGTCAATCTGGGTAATTCAAATGAAGTTATGTTATATTTACACCAGTGTAACTGAAAGAAGAACTTGGCTTGCTTTTTATACAACTGTGGTTCAGGTTTCAGTTTTGCTAGGTTATAGCCAAACTTATGGGCCAAATTATGTAAATATGTTGTATAGCTACAAAATGGTTGCATATTAATGTTGCAAAGGCTGAGTTTGCATCCCTTTTCTGGCAGACTCTGGCCCTATATACAGCTTCACTTGTCATATTGTCTCTGATTAGAACAGAAATAATCTGGGGGGGAAGTGCACAGGTGGAATGATGAAGTCAAGAAGCACATGTGCAGAAACGTATAGATCACAGTTCTTGACCCTTAGGCCCCATCTCAGAATGTTCCTTGTTGCTCCTGTCAGTGAGTTCTGCAGGGAGACAGATTCAAGGCAGAAAATTTCACTTCTCCCTCCCCCACTGCCCTGTTGTACACAGGTTTCCTGGCAGGCACCTGTGTGCAATCCCCTGCTAGTATTTGACCCATAAGCTTATGTTACTGTGAAAAGGTTTGCATACAACATTTCATAACTGTTAACTGGATTTAGAACTAAATTACCCATTAACTTAACGTTCAGTTGGTACTGGTGATATTATAACCAGTCCAACTTAATGGTCTGTTCATAATTCATACCATGTAAAAGTCAAAGAAATAAATAGGCTACAAAACTTATTTACAGACATTTCTTATCTAAAGTTCTTTTAAAGACTGGCTGACTGCACCATAGAAAACTGCATTTTATTTAGTAACCACACTGTTTATATATCAGCTAATTTCTGTATCTTCTTTCCTCGTTTTTCATTACTAGGGACTTTTGAAGGAAAACAGGATCTTTGTAGTTTAGGAGTACATCTGTTCCTGCTTCTTACTCCTGACTTTGAAGTTACAATCCTTTGTGACATTACAATACATTGCTATAGCTGCTATTGTAATGACGCAAAGGATTATTGGCTGAATTCTGTAAGGTGCCAAGTGTCATTGGCTGATGAGGGTGTTCAGTGCCTTACGTGACTGGGCTCATAATCATATATCTCTACAACAATATACTGTAACATCACAAGGACTGAGACTTCATCAAGAAAAAGAATTTGGAGTTGACTGTCCAACAGAGGACAATTCTAGAATATCTAATCAACTGCACAAAGAAATCTTCCTGATTTCTCAATTCCTCTGGCACACAGAGATCATATTCTCAATTTGTTGTCCAAATGTTTTATCTCATTTTCAGTCATCAAATATCACAGCTATATAATAATGACTAAATGAACACTATTTTCTTTAAGTCCATTGCTTGAGACCTGATCTTCTCAAATTTACTATCCATGCAGAAACTTGATTCCTTAGAGCTATCTAGACCCTGCTTAATCAACTGATTGCTGTAAGCTAACATTTCAGAAATTCTCTGTAGAATTTCATATAAAATGCAAGTTATTTGCATAGTGTACTTCATAAAAGGTATCACAAAATGTTTCATTCTGAGAAATACAATAGAAATATAGCTTTAAAGAACAGTTTGTCTCATTCAAATAGAAATGGGAAATGAAACAGAGCTGCAGAGAAAAACAGACACAGAAAAACAATGTATATGCATTTTTCCTGCATTTAACTATTATTGAAGACTAGTGACAGGAAGAATGGAAGCATGCAGTGTTAGGGAAGGGAAAGGGGAATAGGTTTCAGCATCAGTCTAAACCATAAAGAAGAGTTTTAAGGCAAGAGCATAAGAGGAAGTAAGTGAGTGACTTAGGCCTGGTCTACACTAGGAGGTTATGTCGAATTTAGCAACGTTAAATCGAATTAACCCTGCACCCGTCCACAGAACGAAGCTATTTAGTTCGACATAGAGGTCTCTTTAATTTGATTTCTGTACTCCTCCCCGACGAGGGGAGTAGCGCTAAATTCGACATGGCCATGTCGAATTAGGGTAGGTGTGGATGGAATTCGACGCTAATAGCTCTGGGAGCTATCCCACAGTGCACCAATTTGTTGACACTCTGGACAGCAGTCCGAGCTCGGATGCTCTGACCAGCCACACAGGAAAAGCCCTGGGAAAATTTGAATTCCTTTTCCTGTCTGGCCAGTTTGAATCTCATTTCCTGTTTGGACATCGTGGCGAGCTCAGCAGCACTGGCAATGATGCAGAGCTCTCCAGCAGAGGTGACCATGCAATCTCAGAATAGAAAGAGGGCCCCAGCATGGACTGATCGGGAAGTCTTGGATCTGATCGCTGTGTGGGGCGATGAGTTCGTGTTTTCGGAGCTGCGCTCCAAGAAACGGAATGCGAAGATCTA